TCATTTTTTTGGGATAGCTAAAGTGAATTGGTCTACTTGCCATGTAAGGTGTCTAACTAAGAAACAGTTTCTTAGCACTCTAAATTCTATCCCAGGATTGTATCTGTGTGTACCATACATATACAAATACTTGGAATCCCTTCCTGTCATCAAGCTAGTGCTACTAAACAACAATAGCAAAAAGAAAGTAAAAAAATTTAGCAAAGGAGATACAATCAGGTGGCGGCAGTGACGTGTACTACTGATAATTAGGACTTAGTAGCATTGAATGATTATAAAATGATATTGCAATAGACATCCCTATGAAGTTGATTTAGCTTTATATGATTGGATTAGGTGACGGGACAAATGAAATCATGTGGAGAGTGCTCACTCTAATCCATAGGCTTGTACACGAATAGCTGAATACCATTGACACAATGACACATTTATTTGGTGTCCTAAATGATTACTTGTATGCTTGGTTTTGCTAGCTCAGTTTTGCTTAATTGCATCAGTTTTGCTTAATTGCATCAGTTAGATGTCAACTGTGTAAAGGGGATTTCTAATATACTTTCTTTTGATATTGCAGGCTAGAAATAATGCTAGAGTTTTATTCTCTGGCTCTTTAGATCTGTTCAGCAACAAGTATGAAATATTTTGCAGTTTTGTGTGTAGTACTATTTTACCATCATATCTTTTTTGGGTTGAAGTGGAACTGAATATTATGTTATGCAGGTTCTTCAAATCACCAGTGCAAAAGGCAGGGAGCTCAAATAAGTGAGTGTATCCCCTTACAATATTTTTCACATGTTTACTTTAGTTCACACATCGTGTTTGTTACTTTAATCTTCTATCCTAGCAATATACTTCCCAATGTAGTTTTCATCTAGTAAATATAAATGATAATCACGTCTAGAAATGAAAATAAAATTATAAAAAGAGGATATGTGATTGATGTGGTGGCGAACTGGAGCTGTGGTCACTGGTAACTGAATGCATGCTGATGGTTGGTCTTAGTTGCTAAGTTGTTCGTAAGTGGTAAATTCTTATTTTAGGACAACTCAATATAAACTTCATTTAGCAACACTCGAGGATTTTCCATCAGGAATTCTTTTAAGCAGACTTCACTTTTTATAGAATTCTTGTATAAACTGAATGAGCTTACCTTTTGGAACTCCCCTTATGTTGATTGGTATTGGAACAAGAAGAAGTTGAATTTATAATTTGGATTCAATGAGCGTAAGGAGGATCCTATTCCTAGCACAACACACATGAATACACGACCACCATTCTAAATTTTTGCATCTTGTTTCCAATTTCACGCTTTGATTTGGGAAATTTTAGATTTTGCTTCATCCTGTTGTGCCAACAACTTAGCGAACAGTTACTTGTAACAGATATGCAAAATCTGGCAATCAACAGTTTGTTACTGAGCTTAGCAAATGGGTCTTTCATGAAAGAGGCCATTTAAAGGTGAGATATCTACTAGCTATTCTTTCCCTGTTTCTTCTGTTTCATTAATTGCGCTCCAATTTACCTTTTTCATCTTTAATTAAGTCTGATTTCCAACCTTTTACCCTTCCTCTAGACTGGGCTGAAAAGAATAGTCTCTTTATTACTTTTAGTCATCTGATATATAAACTATAGTCTATTTATTCTACTTGTTTAAAAACTTTTCTGAATCTCTATCTTGAATGTAACAGGCTGTCAATGTTAGACACCACAGAGTTGGTGAGACTGATGAACCTGCTATCTACAGGATCAACGATGACCTGGTAATCTTTCATATTATATACCAGCATTCTGTTTGCGGGAAAGTTAAGAAACCTTTTAAGGATTGACCTTGTAGTTGACCGTAGTTAAATTGAACTTATTTCAGGAATACTTGGTAGAGATCTATGAATGGTCTGGATCAAGTTGGGAACCATATGTCGCAAATGATGTCCAGATTCAATTTTACATGATGAGCCCCTACGTGTTGAAAACCATGTCTACTGATAAAAAGGTAGCATTCTATATCTTACATTCTTCTTATATTCATATGCTACTTATAAGTCGATAAATATTCTATTCCCCTTATTCTCCTTATTTTCTGCAGGGGTTGTATCGTACTTCTTTTAAGGTACCAGATGTATATGGTGTGTTCCAGTTTAAGGTTGAATATCAGAGGCTTGGATACACTAGCTTGTCACTTGCAAAACAGGTAAAGTACTAAATACTTGTACAATTGATGACAAATTCACAACACAGGATCATTACCTTGGAACTGATAAAGAGCGGGGTAGATTATTAGACAACCTAACAAACCAACCGAACCCAACCCAGTAAATCCAACTCAGAAGTAGGGTAAACCCAAATGGTAGAGTGACTGTTCCCATGAAGACCCTCCTGTTTGTGCAAGATTGTGCGCTACCAGGTAGACGTAACAAGGACTAGCACATGGTGATCATAGAATGAGAAAAGAAATAATATCTTCAAAAAAAATTAAAAAATGAAATGATAATATTTCAACTTCATTGGTGGGAAGAATAAAAGAGAGCCATTTTTCTCGATTTTTATCCTCCCTCTCTTGCTGTCTTTATTTTGAAAGATTGTTTTGGAGGATTGTACAGAGCAAAAAATGTGTTAAAAACTCCAAAATCTTTATTTTCTCCATTTTGGTTATAAATCATGGTCATGAACTAAAGAGACTTTTGCTGTATCCAACGCTTACATCATGATCAATTATGCGTGCATGCAGATTCCAGTTCGGCCTTTCAGACACAATGAATACGAAAGATTCATACCAACAGCTTTTCCATATTATGGAGCATCATTTTCTACGGTATTTTCTTTTTCACTTCCCCAAAATCTCAAAATGGACGTATATGTTTTTGTAAGTAAGAGAGAAATTTTAACACTGTATTTGATTGTTGCAGATGGCTGCATTCTTCATCTTCAGCTTCGTATACCTTTACAGCAAGTAAACTTTCAATCTTGATGTTTTTGTACCTTAAGTGGTCTAATTTTACACATTTAGAGTCGGTAATTTGGTTATGTTGCAATTTTCGGGAACATCCGATCGAGATGCTGCTGCATTTTTAGCCGTAAAAGTAGAGGAATGGATGGTCAGAATATCAAAAAAGATCCCAGAGATATATGAAATGACTCATGTAGCCAATATTATATATCATCTTTTCTCGAGTTATGCTGCATTTTTTGACATTGGGATATTATAGGTCACCACTTATGACTCATTCTAGTCTCTTTCGTTTTCTGTCCTAAAATAAAATAAGTGTCCACACCTTACTATTTTAATTTGTCGGTGTGTATATGCGGTTTTTACTTCTCTTTGTATCCACGTTCAACCACACTAATTACTAATTGCATACACCAGTTTGTCTATAAATGATCGCGACCACACCACTTCTCTCCCTTCGGCAGCCACTATGACCACATCCCTTTGCCGCTATAACTACATCATCCAAACACCACTAAAAAATCTGCATATATATGCCCCTGGTTCGTTTGATCAAGGAAAAAGATAACGATAACGCGAACCTCATGGATCTGCATCTGCTTCTGGTTCTTGATTTTTAGATTACTGTTTTGATTTTTGATCTACTTTAGGATTTGAACTTTATCAACAGTTTAGGAGTTTTGAAACAATCCCATTTTGTACAAAGATTCGATGACGTGAACAACTCAAGATTGTTCCTGCATCGGTCTCTTTGTGTTCGTGCATTTGTTATGTTTCTGGTTGATAATGGTGCTCAGGGGGGTGGTGGTGGTGGTGGTGGTGGTGGTGGATGAGGGGGCCATTACGAGATTAAAAAAGAAAAAGAAAATAATAAATAAATTCATCGCTATAAGTTAAATAAAAATAAACGTCATATGATATAATGATTATTAACGCATTTAACCCGACATTTTACATGTTTATTCACGTGCGTATCACATGTTGTTTGTTTAAAGACTATTATCCCGAACTCTTTCTTTTGGAAAAAGAGAAAAAAACCCGAATACGATCATACATTTGATCAATTGTTGCAATAACGGGTCTGAGTCGATACCCAAATTATCCTTTCAAAACATTAGTCGCACAAATTCCATCACGTAATTACGTTAAATTGTTATAACATCATAAAAACCTAATTTCGTTTAAAAATATGTCGTAATAGTCAAAATTTAAAGCAAACTTGTAATGTCATCATAATAGTCAAATGTAGAAGAATTGTCGTCCACAGATTATCGAATTAGTCACATGTTAAATTTGCTAGACCGAACTAGAATATGACTGAAACCAAAAAAATAAAATAAAAAATGAAAACAAAAACCGAACCGAACTAAAGGGTTGTTTACCAAACGCTTACTCGGTAAACACCCTTTTAGTTTGGTTGGGTTTTGTAAGCGCTTATCAAATCACATTATTTTACCAGATAAATATGGAAAGAACAAAAAATCTTACCCTATAAGAGCAGAAGTAAGGACCGAGAGTCTTACCCAGTAAGTGAGGACGATAACTCTTATCGGTTAAATTGTTGCGTACGACAACGTTTAGGTGGACTAAAATTTTACTCTATAAGTGCTTATCCGAGTAAACATTTGTTAAACGACGCTCAAAACGATTTGGTTTAAAACCGAATAAGTACTTGAGTTTACTTTAACTTAAAAAATATAAAGTTTGAAAAACAACGGTTTGGTTTCAGTTTTGAATCGACACATACGGTAAACCAGTTTTTGGAAGATTTTTTTTAACGAAGAAACGATCCATGTATAAAATATATAATATATGAAGTTCATTAAAGGAAGAACTGATTAATTTGTGATTGACTCGTATTAGAACTCACAGTTAACACAAATTATCTAGTTCTCGTTTGATTAGACTCCTGTAATATATAATATATCTATTGAAAATAAAGAGATAATCTAAAATAAAGATTTTTTTGCCCACATCAAATAAAATTATCTAAAATTTAATGCGAAGAGAGAAATATTTTCATTATTTTAAATATTTGAGGATTAATTTATTGTTTAATAATTTGGAAAATGGAGAAATGTTGAAGGATGGGAGGAGTAGTCGTCATTAACCCTCTCTTCTCTTGTTCACTCTTTGATCATCTCTCCCTATCTTGATCAGACTTGTGCGAGAAATTGGATCATAAAATTAACAAATCTCTACGTATCAACAGGGTTTCGATATTTGATTGATCTACAGATCTAAAACATCTAAATCGCACATGGGTTTGCCCTAATTTCTTCAGATCTCCATCGTTTTCATTTGGTATCCTTCAGTAGCTCCACCAGAAAACATACCCCTCACCCTGAAGAAGGCCTAACTTTTCAACTGTGAGTCGTCTTTCTTCTCTCTCTATTTATACGTTTTTTCATTTATTTCTACTTTCTTTATCTGACTAATCAATTGTCTGATTCTAAATGCTGACGGGTGTTCCAGATTTGATTTGACCCCAGACATTCGTCTTAATTCCTTTTGTGTGTTAGGAGCTGATGTGATTTTTGATTTTGGTTTCATCCTCCATATTTATTGTTTGTGTATTTATTTAAGTTTTCATTCTTAATGCAGCAGGGAAAGTGTGAGATTCAGTGGTTTTAGTGTTGTTCACATCCAAATTTTTTGGATGGTTAGAAATTGGTGTTAAGTTGTGGTGAGATGAGGGATGTTATCAAGATTCATAAATTTTCTTAAGGCCTGCTGGCGACCTTCTGATGGTTCTGATGCAGCTGGCAGGCAAGAGGGTCTTCTTTGGTTTAAAGACATTGGTCAGCATCTCAATGGTGATTACTCCATGGCTGTGGTTCAAGCCAACATGTTGCTTGAGGATCAAAGCCAAATTGAGTCAGGTCCATTGACCTTTCTTGATTCTGGTCCATATGGAACCTTTATTGGTGTATATGATGGTCATGGTGGCCCCGAAACGTCTCGTTATGTTAATGATCATCTTTTCCATAATCTCAAGAGTGAGTGAGATTGTTAACTTTGTTGTTACTCTTTTTCATTTTTGCTCTCAGTTCATTTGTTATTGATTTTTGGGGGTTTTGTAGGGCTTGCATCGGAAGAACATTCAATATCGGTGAATGTAATACGAAAAGCATTTCAGGCAACAGAAGATGGGTTTATGTCTATTGTTGCTAAACAGTGGACAGTGAAACCACAATTGGCTGCTGTCGGAACTTGTTGTTTGGTTGGTGTGATTTGTAGCGGGACCCTTTACATTGCTAATGTTGGCGATTCACGTGCTGTTTTGGGAAGAGGTGTGAGGTCAACTGGGGAGGTTATTGCCATCCAACTATCGATAGAACATAATGCGAGCATAGAGTCCATTAGGCAGGAGCTCCACACTTTGCATCCTGATGACCCACAGATTGTGGTTTTAAAGCATAACGTATGGCGTGTGAAGGGCCTTATACAGGTATGTTTTGATTCATATATGAATGATGTTTTAATGGTGTTTCTGGCTGATGGCACGTGTTGTATGTCGTCAATTGATCTGTTTAATTGCCTTGAATGGTCTGAGTAGCTAGCCTGGCAAACCAAATTCGATAATGTACTAGTGATCTATCTAGAATTGTTGGTGCTAATTACCATATCCATGAACTTTCTCTAGGGATATCTTTTGCCAAGTGGCAAAAGGTCGTAATTAATATTGTTTAGCTTAGTTTTACCCTTGTGAGAGTTAGTTATATGTGAGAAAGTGTTGAAAGTTATATGTGGATATGATCAGTAATGAGGTTGTCTAGAGGACAAGTCTGCGTACATCCACGACCCCATCTCCGGGTGGGATATATTGGGCTTGTTTGGTCTGGTGGGAAGACGCGGAAGCACACAACAAAGAGAAAATGAGTCTCTCCCTTGAATTGGTTTGCTAGTTAACAACGTAGACTTTGAAGTGTGATCGAGTTTTATGAAGTGGAGGCTTAACGAGATAGATGCGATGTGCTAGAAATGAACTTGAAATTAGTGATAAAGTACTTTAGGTCTGTTTTGCCTCTTCCTCTAGTCTCTTACTTATGTTTGCATCATTTACGTTGCTAAAATATGCATGTTCTCAACTTCATCTTTCTTAAGCTTCAAGTTTCTGGTTATTCTTCGTGGGGCTTGTTTTGAAAATCATACAAGTAGATTTAGAAGGCTTATTGATTGAAAAGGACATCAATCTTGCAGTCGAACTGAAACGAATCATTAGTAGACTGTTCGTAAGCTAGTGCACTACTGAAGAAAAATATGTTTAATATATTGGGTTTTTTGGTTAACCATCCGACTCTAAAAATCAAACTGAAAAGCCAACTTTTTCTGGTTTGGTTCACTTAAAAGTTGGCGTCGTTCATCGTTTTAGTTTTTTTAACACCCCTAGGTAGTGGGTCGGATGGATTCCCTCAATAATGACCAAACTAAATGAACCTAGTATATCCTACTCGAAAGTGGGGTCGGGTTGGGATGTACGTAGACATTTTCATCTACCCTTGTAGACCCCCAGCTTGTGAAAAAGTACGAGCGAGCAGAAACATTAATATAATTGCAGATTGTGAGGTCTAATGTATGAGCCACGTTATGAAATTGTGAGGTCTCGTATATAATTGTAGATTGTCAGGTATCTTCTTCGTAAGGACACCAAGTCAATATGACACCATTTTTATGTGGGAATACCTCCAGATCATATTCAGTCTCTTTCTTGTAACCAACAACCCTCAATCAGGCCCCCATCCCAAGAGGCTAATCGCCCCCTAGGTGGCTGGAGTAAGAGTCCAAAGCCCCCGCTAGGAGCCCAATCCCCTCGCCTGTTTGTGCAAGTATACCATCCCGGAACCAACTTTATTGTGCCCTGAGGCTTCTATTCCCTTTTTTCATTGACTCGGATTGCCAAGCTTTTTTTAAAATGAGTTCTTATGTGGGCTTCTCTTTCTTTGCATTTGAAGAAATAAACTCTTACATGCGATGCATATTTTCTTGTCAACGACAATTTAGATGCTTAAAAACACGAGAAGATTAGTTTGTAAAAGTGACTTTCATAGATGGTGGTTAAACTAAATATCCCCATTGACCTTAAACGAGAATTTTATTCAAAAAACAACCTTGTGACGAGTTTATTTTAGTGGCATTTTTGCGTATTCTCGAATCTGTCAAAAGGTCATTCAACCAAAATAAGATTTCAAAATAACCATGTGTGTGTTTTCAAGATGGTTATTGATGCTTTCTATATATTGTTGATTTAATTGGTTTGCAGATATCTAGATCGATAGGTGATGTCTACCTAAAGAAGGCAGAGTTTAACAGAGAGCCATTGTACGCCAAGTTCCGTCTTCGTGATCCTATCACACGCCCAATATTGAGTTCGGACCCATCCATATCTGTGCATCAAATCCAACCACACGATCAGTTTCTCATATTTGCATCCGACGGTCTCTGGGAGCATCTTAGCAATCAAGAAGCAGTTGATATCGTCCAAAATCACCCTCATAATGTAAGACACTCGTCAATTCCATCTTCATTACATAACAAAAATGCGCAAATAAAATTATTTACTATTTCATTCAACAGATGCTTCTAATAATATCTGCGTCATACAAGTTGGATACCATTGTCGATAACTTTAGAGACATCTTACAAACAGTACACACACACACACACACTATAAGGGGCACATAAACCTGATTTGTGTGTTGCAGGGAAGTGCCAAGAGGCTGGTGAAAACGGCGTTACAGGAGGCGGCAAAGAAGCGGGAGATGAGGTACTCCGATTTGAAGAAAATCGATAGGGGAGTAAGGCGACATTTCCACGATGACATCACTGTCGTAGTTGTGTTTCTGGACTCAAATCTTGTGAGTAAAGCAAGCTCGAAGGGCCCTGTGTTGTCTCTTAGAGGCGGTGGCGTCAATCTCTCACCGAAAACTCTTGCACCATTATCGACCACCACGTAACTAGGTACCGCTTAAGTTTTTCCAGTTATCAGCCACCATCATGTGGTGGATAGATTAAAGGGTATTCCTGCTACCTTGAAAGTTAGCGATTATAATACGGTGATCGAAGGAAAAACGAGAGGGCCAAAGAGATTTTGGACACGAAAAGCTTATTTTGAAGCTAATCCTTTTATTCAGATTCATATTTGTTACTATCGTATTTGCGTTGTTTTGGTGCAAGTAAGAATAACAAACGACTCTTGTATAGTTGTCGATACGGGTAATTACGTCGGATAACAACTTACGTGTAGTCAATTCTCATTTTAGACAGTTTCCGTTAGGGAAAAGTTCAAAAAACCCCCCAAGGAACTTTCACATGTTCAATGATCGAGTCCCTAACTGATAACTGATACACAATCAAACATGTTCATTGGCTGATTTTCATGTACAGATATGAATGCGATTATGAGAAATCAATCCTTTCTATCAGTAAGGGTTAATCACGGAAGAACCCAATATATAAAGAAGTGACATTCCTCTATTAAGAAGTGACGTTTTTCAAATCAGAAGAATTTCAACCAACCAAAGGACCCAAAATAAGATTTCCCATCCGTATGGATTTTCAAAATGGTTATCGTCATTTTAATTAATTCTACTGTATTTAGTATATTGTTGAATTAACTTCATTTAACTGGTTTGTAGATATCAAAATCGATTAGGTGATTTATACGTAAACAAGGTAGAGTTTAACATGGATCCATTGTATGCCAAGTTTCGTCTTTGTGATCCTATCTCACCCTATATTGAGTTTGGATCCGTCCAAGTCTATGCATGAAATCCAAACTCACGAACAATTTCTTATCTTTGCATCCAACGGTCGGTGGGAGAACCTTAGCAATCAGGAAACAGTTGATAATAGTCCAAAATCACACTCACAATGTAAGACTCTCGTCAATTCCATTTTCATTACATAGCAAAAATGAGTTGATTCGTGGAAAAACTCATTTTTGATATGTAATGAAGATGAAATTGATGAGATTCTTCCATCGCGAGGTTATTTTGGACGATATCAACAGCTTTCTGATTGCTATGGTACATTCATAGACCGTCGGATGCAAATATGAGGAATTGATCGTAAAGTTGGATTTCATGTATAGGTATGGATGAATCCCAACTCAATATTGGTTGTTTTCGATGCCAAGTTTTGTCTTCCTGATTTTATCGAAAACAACTAATATTGAGTTTGGATTCATCCATATCTATACATGAAATCCAACTTTACGATCAATTCCTCATATTTGCATCCGACGGTCTGTGGAAGTACCTTAGCAATCAAGAAGCTGTTGATATCGTCCAAAATAACCTCACAATGGAAGAATCTCATCAACTTCATCTTCATTACATATAAAAAATGAGTAATTCCACGAATCAACACATTTTTGCTATGTGATGAAAATGGAGTTGATGAGAGTCTTACATTGTGGAGGTGATTTTGGACTATATCAACTGCTTCTTGATTGCTAAGGTTCTCCCACAAACCGTTGGATGCAAAGATGAGAAATTGATCCTAAAGTTGGATCTCATGTATAGGTATGGATTTCATCCTCTACATTTATTATTTGTGTATTTATTTAGTTTTCATTCTTAATGCAGCAGGGAAAGTGTGAGATTCAGTGGTTTTAGTGTTGTTCACATCCAAATTTTTGGATGGTTTGAAATTGGTGTTAAGTTGTGGTGAGATGAGGGATGTTATCAAGATTCATAAAATTTTCTAAAGGTTTGCTGGCGACCTTCTGATGGTTCTGATGCAGTTGACAGGCAAGAGGGTCTTCTTTGGTTTAAAGTCATTGGTCAGCATTTCAATGGTGATTACTCCATGGTAGTGGTTTAAGCCAACATGTTCCTTGAGGATCAAAGCCAAATTGAGTCAGGTCCATTGACCTTTCTTGATTCTTTTATTGGTGTATATTCTGGTCATGGTGGCCCCGAAACGTCTCGTTGTGTTAATGATCACCTTTTCCATAGTCTCAAGAGTGAGTGAGATTGTTAACTTTGTTGTTAACAATCTCACTCACTCTAACTTTGTTGTTAACAATCTCACTCACTCTTGAGATTATGAAAAAGATGATCATTAAGATAACGAGACGTTTCGGGGCCACCATGACCAGAATATACACCAATAAAAGAATCAAGAAAGGTCAATGGACCTGACTCAATTTGGCTTTGATCCTCAAGCAACATGTTGGCTTAAACCACTACCATGGAGTAATCACCATTGAAATGCTGACCAATGTCGTTAAACCAAAGAAGACCCTCTTGTCTGCCAACTGCATCAGAATTATCAGAAGGTCGCCATCAGGCCTTTAGAAAATTTATGAATCTTGATAACATCCCTCATCCCACCACAAGTTAACACCAATTTCTAACCATCCAAAAATTTGGATGTGAACAACACTAAAACCACTGAATCTCACACTTTCCCTGCTGCATTAAGAATGAAAACTAAATAAATACACAAATAATAAATGTAGAGGATGAAATCCATACCTATACATGAGATCCAACTTTAGGATCAATTCCTCATATTTGCATCCGACGGTCTGTGAAAGTACCTTATCAATCAGGAAGCTGTTGATATAGTCCAAAATCACCCCTACAATGTAACTCTCATCAATTCCATTTTCATTACATAGCAAAAATGTGTTGGTTCGTGGAATTACTCATTTTTGATATGTAATGAAAATGAAGTTGATGAGATTCTTCCATTGTAAGGTTATTTTGGACGATATCAACAGCTTCCTGATTGATAAGGTACTTCCACAGATCGTCGGATGCAAATATGAGGAATTGATCCTAAAGTTGGATTTCATATATAGATATGGATGAATCCAAACTCAATATTAGTTGTTTTCGATAAAATCAGGAAGACAAAACTTGGCCTAAAACACAACCAATATTAAGTTGGCATTCATCCATACCTATACATGAAATCTAGCTTTATGGTCAATTCCTTATATTTGCATCGGACGTTCTGCATAAGTACCTTAGCAATCAGGAAGCCGTTGATATCGTCCAAAATCACCTCAGAATGCAAGAAACTCTTCAATTTCATCTTCATTACATAACAAAAATGAGCAATTCCAACCAAAGGGCCTTTAGCCTAGCGGTATTGTAGCCCTTGGCCTTCTAGGAGGTCAGGGATTCAAACCTCACCATAGGTGAGGAGGGTGTGTGAGTTTATTTGTTGCATTTGCGGTATATAAATATTATATATTTAAAAAAAAATGAGCAATTCCTCGAATCATCATATTTTTGCTATGTAATGAAGATGGAATTGATGAGAGTCTTATATTGTGAGGGTGATTCTGGACTGTAAATATGAGAAATTCATCGTACTGTTGGATTTCATGTGCCGATATGGGTGGATCCAAAATTAATATTAATATTTTATATGAAGGAAAATAGCAAGTTATTTAACGGTTTAATTGAATTGCAATTTGTATTTACCTCAATCGTTATTTAGAATTGTTATTTGATACGAATGAAAAGTAAACATTAACATCATCTCTGATATGGTTAATTATAAAAGGGTTTTCAAAGTTTTGCAATATATATAGGTACATCTAATTCATTATGATAAAGCAAATATTTAAAAATATTTTATCCGGTTTTATTTATTTATTTATGTGGAATTTATATTTTAAAAGATGTGTTTGACTGTTTAAAATGAAAATATAATTAAAGTACATTTTTTTCAAATGACGTGTATTTGCAGATATCTAGAACGTTTGGCGATGTATACCTAAAGAAGGCAGAGTTTAACACGGAGTCAACGTATGCCAACTTCCGTCTTCGTCATCTTATGAAATGCTCTATACTGAGTTCAAGTTCATCCAAACCTATGCATGAAATCCGAAGGCAAGATCAATTTCTCATATTTGGTCTGACTGTTGCAAAAAGCACCTTAGCAATTACGAAGCAGTTGATATAGTCCAAACTCACCCTCACAATGTAACACTCTCATCAATTCCATCTTCATTACATAGCAAAAAATGTGTCGGTTCAAAGAATTGCTCATTTTTGTTATGTAAGGAAGATGAAATTGATTAGAGTCTTGCACTGTGTGTGTGATTTTTGACTATATCAACTGCTTCCGGATTGCTAAGATGCTTCTATAGACTGCAGATGCAAATATGAGAAATTGATCGGGTGGCTGGTTTTCATTTGAAGGGCCTAAATATTATCTTATGTTTCTACATGAAAACCAACCACTCGATCAATTTCTCATATTTGCATCTGTAGTCTGTAGGAGGTTATAGCGATCAGGAACTTGTTGATATAATGAAAAATCACACTCGCGTTGCAAGACTCTCGTCAAATTCATCTTCCTTACATAACAAAAATGTGCAACTCTTTGAATCAACACATTTTTGCTATGTGATGAAGATGGAGTTGACGAGAGTGTTACATTATGAGAGTGATTTTGAATTATATCAACTGCTTTCTGATCGCTATAGGGCTTTTTGAGACAGTTAGACCAAATATGAGAAATTGATCGTGCGTTCGAATTTGATGCATAGATTTGGATGGACTTGACTCAATATAGGGCGTTTCATAAGATGACAAAGACGAAACTTGGCATACAATGGCTCCGTGTTAAACTCTCGGCCTTCTTTAGGTATGCATGACCAATCGGTCTAGATTTCTGCAGACCGAAGATAATGTTGATGTTACACCTCTATTCATATAAAATATTAATTTCAAATAAAAATCGAGATAAATACAAATTATAATTCAGTAAAACCCTTGTTATTTTTTTGAACAATGATTTTATTAACTTTAAATTTTAAATTCATTTTTTAAAATTAATTTATTAATAGTTTACATTTGTTTGCATACGCAATCACACAAAAAGGCCCCTGTCACGAGATTGAAAACCGACTAAATTTTTCAAAAAATCGACCACATGTATGTCAAGTTTCTTCGTGGTCCTGTCAAACAATATTAAGGTTGGATCCAACTGCAACGATAAGCGGTATGGAGAACAGAAAACAATGGGGGCAACCAGAGGTGTCGAGAGTGAGCGTTGCTGTTGCGTACAAGGGTTTAATTGTCATTAGGTATGTGTACAATAAAATTGATCTAGATATTTTTTACTTTACAATATTCATTGGCGGTAGATGTACGTTTTTTGAATTTAAAAGTATTTTTTACGTTATAAGATATTTTTAGTAGATCATTTATCCTGCTCTTGATTACATTGAAGATACATTAGGGACATGCTTTACATGGTTTTCTGGTATGAAGCAC